GTATTCACAGACTCAGCAAATGTTACTGCATCAATAACCTTTGTAATGTTAACTGAAAAATCTTCAAAGTCATAAGAGCTAGACTTACATTTTGTAATGAAAGGTAAGATTTTTGGAGCATTGTGGACAGACTTGAGAGGAAAGTTACAGTCCATTGAATGAGCCAGTTTGACTCCCCAATAGAGAATAGTGGACTTACAAGAATATTTCACTTGAAGTTTATTTTCATCAGTAATTTTTCTGTGTTCTTCTATTTCATTATTAATCTTTTATATCCCTTTTTTGTGGGGACCGTTGTTATCTTCTGTTATCTCCAAGATTAATGTAGTTGCCTTGAGTTACAGTGAAAATTACTAATATGGTTATCTAAAATAATCTGGTCTGGTCTTATGGCAGTCCATGGACATCACCCATGTACCTGTGCTATCAGTACTTACACCCAAAGACCCATGTTCCCTGAAAATAGCAGAATAGGGGACCTGTTTGTCTTTGTGCATGGGTCTCCCAAACCTAGGGCCAGCCCTGCATCTGTCTTTCTCCTTTTCAACTGTATGTTCTTGTTTGCTCCTGTCCAGTGAGCTGAGAATTTACGAGTACAGATTGCACCTCTCTAGACTAGGACACTCTGATTTGGCAACATTTGTGGTCTGCTCCTGGTGCAGGGCTGGTGGCTAAGAACCCTGAGGGCCAGCAGGGCAAATGGGCTGCCAGCAACAAGCTGCCAGGAGGCTGGGAGTCCGATGTGCGGCTCAGCAGAAGTGGGGGAAGCTGGCTGGTGGCAGGGGGAAGCTGGCCAGGAGGGCAGCAGCTGGGTCAGGGCTGTGGAAGGGGGAGGTTGGTGTTGGTGGAGCCAGAAATGACCTCCCCTGGTCTGGCAAAATCCCTCAACTGAGGCCAGTGAGGTCCTGAGGATGGCGGACATTTTGGTAGTCACTTATCTTATCAGTGTAATGAAAGATTTTAAAATCTTGAACACTTTCATCCAAGCTTAATTAGTTGACTCATACAAAACTGGCAACTCAGCATTAATACTTAAAATCTTTTATTGTTAAGAGAAATAATTTTAAGTTTCATAATATTCAAACTAGTATGTAATAACCCCAACATGACTGAAGAAGAAATCTGTTTCTTTACAGAATGTTTTTCTCTATCTTGCAAACATGTAGCTATTTGGCTTTTGAGTATAGGTTGGAACCTCTGTTGTCTGGGACACACTGGTTCTGCAGGACCACAGATTTTGCTAGGAACAGAGCTGGTCTGGCTGGCAGCAGCCTGCAGGGCCAGTGTACTAAGGGCCGAGGAACCCCGGGAGCTGGCACGCTGGGCCAGGGAACCCCAGGAGCAGCTGCCATCCTGCCCTGCACATGGGGCTGGGTAGCAGAGCCTCAAGAATGGGCTGGGGGCAGTAGATACAGGCAGGTGGGCTGAAGGTCGTCAGGCCTCTTGAGTTCTCCCAGGACAGAAACCAGGAGCGAAACCCCAATGAGATACTGGATGCCGGCAAATTCTCTTGTTCTGGACCAGGGAGATTCAACCTTTATTTGACTTTCCTCCTAAGCATATATATGGAATAATTTGTTTTGGGAGGGGGGAGGAGGGGAGGGGAGAAGCTATATTAGATTACTTGGCCTTGCTGACATAAAAGAACCAAGAGAGGTCACATTTTTGAATCTTTATCAGTCAGGATTATGTTTCTTAAACCAGCTTGCAGAAAAATCCATTTATGGCTTCTTCATGTCTTCTGACTTCTAGCCAATTTTATTCCATGACTATGCATCTTAAATGTAGATTCTGTTTAATACTTTCTGCAGATCCAAAGCCTGTAATTTCCTCTGCCATGTACCCCCTGTCATTCTTGGCAGGAATATGTTCCAAGAATAAAGCAAGTTTGTGAGCCATGGGTTTGTTTAACCAGAAAGCATAATGGAATGTGGAAAACAAAACAGAACAGTGGTTTATTTTAATCAAGATGTACTGTCCTAAGAGGACTTGACCTCTTCAGATATAGTACTTTCTTCACAAGTAATACACTGCTAGGTTTCACAGCATTCTACCTGTGTGTTAACACTTGGTATGTCTTGCATTCTGTACTACAAACTTAGACACTTCTGTGGACTAATGTGTCATCTTAGATTGTTAGGGCAAGAACTGTCATCTTGGACATGTCTAGCTGCATTAAATTTGACTTCCTCACAGGATTACCTTATTGATCTTTTTTCCGTAAGAAATCTGAGTAAAATTTTTGATGCAGTTTAGGACTCTAGTAACTGCTTGAGTCACTTTTGAAATGTTTATTTTTTGTCATTTGAGTTGAGGCCTGTGGTTACTGCTTCCACCTAAGGATGACTATAATACTCCAGTGTGTGAGTGAGTGAGTGTGTGTAGACCAAGGGCAGGTGATAATATTTTACTAGGGGCCTCACCGGAAGGGGCGGAGCCTCAAGCAGAAGGGGCAGGGCCAGGCTATTTCCCTGCTTCCCCACCTACAGACTGATTGGTCTGGGAGTCGGAGAGCATGTGAAGTCTTTGCCCTGCTCCCTGATGGCACCCATGCCCCTGGTGGTAGAAGGAGACTTCACACACTCCCCCTTCTGCCTCTAGGCCAATCAGGACTTGGGGGCGGATGAGTGCACAAAGTCTCCTCCCGCCCTACCAGGAGTGCATGGTGCTTCTAAGCACTGCGCACTCCTTGCAGGGCGGGGAAAAGGTGGAGGAAACTTCGTGCACTCCCCCAGGCCAATCAGGGCTTGGGGGCAGGGGAGCACGCAAAGTGCCCCCCTGGGATTCCAGGATTGTGTGGTGCTTAAGTGCCACACGCTCCTTGCAGGGTGGTGGAAACTTCATGTGCTTCTACCCGCTGCCAGATCCTAATTAGCCTGGGGGTAGGAGAGCAGCAGGGCTTTTGCTGGTCAGATCAACCTTCTTAGAAGGCTGGATCCAGCCTGAGAAGACCCTTTTGCCCACCCCGGTGCAGACAGACACAAACCACACAAAACAACTTAAAATCCAATTTTTTTTTGTACAGGTGAAAGTTGCTCAGTTGAGAATCTGAGACTGAATTCTGTTTTGCACAAAGCAAGTAGTATAGCAGCATTGTAAACTTGTGCCACGGACTACCTAGCTGTGACAGAGGAGGCATGGCTAAGGAATAGTAGAATGGTTTTGTTTCCAGGTTTAGTCAGATGTGACTTCTCTGAACATTAGCAGTGGCATTGATTATGGACCAGTTGTGCTCCTGTTCTGTTAGTAATGTGGTATTGAGGTCACTGTCGTCATACATACTGTAGCCCAGTGTTTGAGAGTCTGTAACACTGAAATACTGGCTGTTCCCTCTGCGTGGCCCGTGCTGCATGGGGTGTGCGGGGCCAAAACAGCTGCTTGCTCCACTTGCTCCCCTGCAGCGGCCTGGCTGAGTGGCACAGAAGTCAGCTGAGCACCATAGCGGGAGGAGAAGGGGGGCGGGGCAGTGATGTGCGGTGTGACAGCAGCTACAGGCCCCGCCTCCTGGCTGTGAATGTCACCACCCTGCCCCTCTTTGCCTTCCGCCGTGGCGGAGCAAGTGGCATAAGCAGCCATTTGGGCTCTGCGCTCCCCATGCAGCACGGGGAGTGTAGAGCCCAAATGGCCGCGGACCCCTGAGTGAGAGGCGGGAAGGGGAGAAGAGACAGAGAGAGAGAGGCAGGAGATGGAGGAGAGCTGAGACACAGGCGGGGAAGCAGTAGGAAGTGGGGGGGAGAGAGGGACGGAGCGAGAGACCGGAGGCTCAGGAGAAAAGACGGACGTGGAGGAGAGACCTGAAAATCCTGTCTTATGATGGGCTAATTGGCTAGTTTCAAATAGAACCCAACAATTCTCAACTGGCAACCACTGTTAGTCTTTGCTACTTGGGAAACACTGGATAAAAAGCACTCTGGTCAATTTTTTTTTTTTAATATATGGATTTATGTGGCTATTTAAGATAATCCAGTAAATGCCTTACATTTATTATTCTATAAAAATATGAATGAAATGATTTAATAGTCTAGTAGGAAAAATGCACATATGAAAGGATAGATCCAAGACCAGTGGCTGTATTTGTAAGGAATAATTCCAGACACACTGGGTGCAGGTGAAAACAAGCTGAGGTGTAAATGTTTTATTACACACTAGTCTCTCTCATTTTCAGCTATTTCATGTTTTTAGGGCCAGAGATGGATTTCCTTAAAACAAGATTTGGTCAGAAAAGACAACTATATACATATGGCAGTCTGCTTCCTGTACCTTTTCAATCAGATTTGCTTATTTAAGGGCTATAAAACAAGCTTTTGTTTTTTTAAATTACATTTAGCTGGATTTTCTGGTGCCAGGATCTCTACTGCTGATGTCAGTCAGAATGACCCTGTCTTGATTTTGAAGGCTAGATTTCCATATAATTTAGGTGTATACTTTACATAAGCGCACTTATCTAAAATGTGAGCATTACCAAGATTTTTACATCAATTAGGTGTTGAGTTGCATGAATAACTGAGGGGCTGGCATCAGATGGAAGCAGGGCAGGCCCAGGGAAGATCAGTCCCTGTGCTAAAACCATGTCCTTGGGCTTGGAATATTTTTTGGGATTGGTGCAGGGAATTGGGGCCTCAAGAAACAATCAAGTTCCTTCATTTATTGCTTTTGCTACACCATTCTGCTTTCAGATGGGTAGCAGTGTTAGTCTGTATAAGCAAAAATGAAGACTCTTGTGACACTATAAAGACTAACAAATTTATTTGGGCATAAGCTGTTGTGGACTGATACCCACTTCATGTGTCTCATGAAGTGGGTTCCAGCCCATGAAAGCTTATGCCTGAATAAGTTTGTTAGTCTTTAAGGTGCCACAGGACTCCTCGTAATACTTCTACTTAAGTCCCAATACACTGCAGTCATTTAAATGAACAGGGGGCAAGATGACTCAACGTTACTTTAATCATTTGTTAAAATTCCCTTTTGAAATAATCTTATGTAATCTCTTATTCCCTTAGGAGTCTCAACAGTCCACTTTTGGCACTGGAGAGCAGAGTGAGTATTGAAAGTCCTTTGATATATTTTAAAGAGTGTCTGTAAGTCTATATGTTCAAAAACTCCTAAACAGTAAGAACTAGGGCCGTTACATTTAGTATGCACCTTCTTCTCCTAACATGAAGCAAGTTCAGGGCTTGGTTGTGCCTCCACAACCGGAAAAGGACTGTTTTCCATAGCATGCAGAGGGAGAGCCTCAGCCCCTTCAAGAAGCCATGGAGGGTGGCGAAGGTAGAGGAGTGAAACCCAAGGCCATGGTAAAAGAAGCTGGGAGGGGCCCTCAGTTGCTTAGGACCTCTTAATTTGTAAGGAGGGCTCTGTGCTGTAGTACATGAGGGGCCAGCAAATGAGGGGGGGGGAACCTGCCTAGCACAGGAATCTTACTTATGTAGGACAACATTCAGAGCCCCTTCCTTAGCTGGTGTGGCTGCTCCTGTGATCACTCTGCAGTATGATTCTCCCTCCTAGCAGCCTCCTCCCTTTCCATCTTATGGAAACTAATCCTATTCCAGGCAGAGCCAATTTTCCTCACATAACCAAACTAGGGATATAAAATCCCATTTGAAAAGGTTTTTTTAAAACATTATGTGTAACTGGTTAACCAATCCGCTGGGCAGGGGTTGCTCTGGCTAGGCCAGGGGCAGGTTAACTCATTACTCAGGTAAGCATTCAGGTAATGTGTATGTTTACTGAATAACCGGTTAACCCTTTACTTTCCTAAACCTGACCTTGCTTTAAGTTAGGCTAAGAGGAAGCTGCATGCCACATTTGGTGGTCCTAAATCTTACTGTTTAGGAGAAGTTCTTGAACAAATGGATTTCTAGACAGATGGCATGGACAGAGGCATATTTCTAAATTACATAGATTGATATCTTTTACAAGTCCTGTTATGTGAACTGAAGGGTAATGGTTAAACTTCACTGTGGTTTCTGGCTTCTAGAGAAAATACCTAGGCTATACCCAGTTACACTACTGTAATCCTCCAAAACATGTTTTCTCGCTAGATCTGACTGAAAATCACAGTGATAATTATATGTGAAAGCTCTATCTTCTGAAAGTCTGATGTCCAGCAAGGCAAATTGTGTGCAATAAAATAAAAGCTTTTTTTAATAGCTGGAGACAGTAACCCGTCTGTACCATAGCTTGTCAGAGCTCTCCATGATATCCTTATTGAACATAATTCAAAACAAAGAATATGGTAATGTCAGGAACTCCAGGGTATGACTAAACATAGCCTGACTCTCCCCTACTATCAAAGTATTTTTCAGAATTTGAATAAAAGTAACATCATACAGCTCTTATTGAAATAAGTGTTTAATTTATTATGAGAATTACTGAAATGGATTATTTATGTATAGTGTAATGAGTGTCACAAACACACCTCATACAGCTGCACTTCCTACTCCAATCAGATTAAGGAATAACCAATCAGATTAAGTAGTAAAAGCAGAGGCTTATTCTTGTATATTGACAAGTAGCTTACTTGGAACACACAATGAAGAGAGCAATTAAAGAAACAGTGTCAAACTCCTAATTAGACAGGCCATATGCCATAGCAATAGTAGAAATCTAGAAATGCTTCATATAGAAATGGACTGTAAAATGGTGAGAAGCCAGCCTGATCAGACACTAGGAGTGATTCTCCACTCCTACAGATTTCACTGGAAACCAAATTTATGACCACTTTAATTCCAACTCATATTGTGATGCTCTGGGCAGCCTGCCAGAAGTCAGGACTTTAAAGTGATGTACTTTGATCAAAATGATAGACTCCTTACTCACTACTGCAGAGCTAAGTAGGGATGATGCTGAAAGTAATGTTAACATGAAGCTGCCAGCTAAGTAACTCCATGTCTTTGCATGCAGAAAGCAGTACAATTTTTTTCTAGAACAGTATTCTCAACTGAGAGAAGGAAAACAGTTTATTTCACAGCATTCAAAATAAATTAAACGTATTGCTTTCTTTAAAAACAAAAAAAACCTGTTGTGTATATTCAGGTTATGTGGAAACAAAGAAAAAAAACCCATGTCTGGGCTGTGCCTACCAACTTGGGCTTTTGGGGCTTGGGCTCTGGCATTTTTTCATTGTTGTGTAGGTTTCCATGTTCAGTCTGTAGACCAAACTCTTGGACTCTGCAGGATGGGAGAAAACAGCCCTCCAAGCCGGAGTTGGTGGGAATGGGCCTACTGGGTGTTTTTCTTTGTTGGTGCAGTTTCTTGCTATGCTAGCTTTTTCACCTCTGGATCTTCTAGTTCAAATTTAAGTCAGATGTTAGTGAAATAATTCTGTTAGTCCCAATCTGATTCATGTATAGCTATCTCTAGCACGTAGAACTGTTCAGCATGATAGGCTCTGCTTAAGAGAACCATAAAAAAGGCATAGAAAGGCTGTATTGCATGTCAGGAGTGAGGTGCATTGATTGAACTGTGGGGGAAGTTTTCATAACACCTGCTTGCACCATATCAGATAAACCAGTTTGTCCTCCATTCCTCAAGTACTAAATTCACTCCACCATTTTTGCTTCCAAATTAGTCTAGGATTTTTCTCTTGTAACTTTGAAGAGTCTTATTTTGCTGCTAAGTTGTAATAAGGAGTGTGCTACTCTGTTTTTTCCAGAAAGATACAATCCTCAATCAAAAACGTCCAATGGTCATCAATCCAAATCGTAAGTTGTTTATAGGAAAGAATTAGAACATCTTCTCCAATACTTTCCAAACTACTATTGTCTGAAGTGTTAACGGATTTTAGCCCGTTAAGATGACAATAACCTTTTCTCACTGTTTAAAGTGGACACAGCAGTTCTTAGTAGTATATTAATTCTAGTTTATTACCAGAAAATGGCTACCAAACTCACGTGAAAAGGACACTTTTCAAGATAGTAGACATAAAATTATTGTACACAAGGACACATGTATGCATGGTGCTTTCCTCCCCTCCTTTTTTGTGGTATGCTAGCAGGATATTTATATAAAATGTATATTCTTGGGATTGATTATGTTTGTGTTTTGATGAGAATGGGGAGGGCAGGTTAGGGTAGAGGGACCTTTTAAATAAACGTTCATAGTTAGAGAAATCCAGTTGATCAGGTTGTGAAGTTATGATGTACTTTGTGCTGCTTTATTTTTATTAATCGAATGAAGGGTATATCTGCACTGCTAGCCAAAATCGAGTTAAGATATGCAATTTCACCTGCGTTAATTGCATAACTGAAGCTGAAGTAGCTTAACTCTGCTTTTGGCACTGTCTTGGCAGCAGGCAGTCGAAGGAAGAACAGTCTTCCTTTGACTTCCCTTCTTCCTTATGAAATGAGGGTTACAAAAATAGGAGTAAGAAGCCTGTTTTGAAATTATTTAGAAATAATGGGCTTGCTGTGTAGACGCACACTTGGTTATTTCGACATGCAGTGTAGACATAGCCTAAGGTGCCACAGGACTACTTGTTTTTAAAAATGGTTTGGGGAGCTCTGATCTGTATTCAGATGATACAGCATAGAATATGCCTAAGGATGCTTAAGTTTGGGGCCCTGGCTTCTGCTTGAATACCAAGCATCTATTAGGGATGTAAAGGAGTGGTAGACCAATCAATTACCCGATAAGCATAGGCTTTTCAGGTAGTCAGCTACTTGCTACCTCTGTATCAGAGGCAGCAAGTGGGGGAAGCAAGAGCTGGTGCTGGGGAGAGCCGGCTTAAAATCCAGTTTCCCCTAGCACCACCTCCATGGTGCGCGCCCTCCCCCCATCCCTTGCTGCCTCTAATATCAGAGGAGGTGGGAAGTCCCAGCTGGGGGATTGGGATCAGCAATCCTTGTCAGGTGTGTGTGCGCGTGTGCGTGCATGTGTGCGCCCTGGCTCCTTCTGTATTTAAATTGGAGACCCACAGTGGGGTTTGGTTCCACACCCAGCGTGAGCCAGGACTGAGCCAGGCTGCCTATTGACAAATTGAGTAGTCAATAAAAATTCTATTGAGTACTCAATTAGTTAAATACCCATCTCTTAACATCCCTAACATGTTGACACGAATGTGCAGGGCTTGACAAATCAGACAATCTACTCGCCTGTGACGAGTAGATTTTAGCCTGGTGCGGCCGCGCAGCGTGGTCACTGCATGCTCAGCGTGCACTTCCAGCCAGCTGGCAAGCGGCTTGGGCAAGCCCTGCGAATGTGGTAAAATATTGCAGAACATGGAGACCAAAAGATACACTTCATCTGTCTACTATACAACCAAAAAAATCAGTGAAACTAGAAGCTTCTTGATTAGTTTTTTTTCCCTCATAAATTTTCCTCAAATGTATTCTGTTCCGAATGAACCAGTTGGGTGAAAATTTGGCATCTTCTGTTCAAAGGTTAATAGTCCCTAGAAAACACAAATATGAGTACCAACTAAGTTTAGTGGCTGTCTGTATATTACTTTTGGGGATATTCTGCACAACAAAACTTAAATTCTGCACATAATATTTTAAAGTTCAACAAATTTTATGTGTCAAAATAACACTATGTAATCATGCCAGTTTCAGTTGTTTTGGTAATTTATTTCTAAATACTTCTCCGTATATTTGTCTAACAATATAGCAGTGGTTCCTAACCGCTTGGGGGCCGGAGCTGGGGTTAACTGCTCCCGCCACGGCTGTTGGGAGATGGCCAACCAGCCATGCAAGAGTGTTTTGCTGCACAGCAGGAGGGCCACTCAGAGCCTGGCACTCAACCTTAGAGCAGCCATGACCCAGTCAGCAGCACTCAGCTGGCGGCTGGGAGGCAGCACAAGGCGGGGG